TGTGGAATGAGGGTGTGCGTAATGCTCGTGAATTACATGCACGTACAAACATCCCACTTTCAACAATATATGATAATTGGCTGGTTGGTTATTGTTACACAACGTTTTGTTCATGTGAAGTACATTAATTTGAAAACAGCTATAAGTATAAGATAATGCACTGCTAAACAGTACCCGCATGTTTCAGCTAAATCCTTATATTATTTATATTATGCTATCACATTCTGTTAAACCTGTTTAATCAACGTGTTTCAACCGGATTAAGATTGCAAAGTTGATAGGAACTTTAATTCTGTAGACAAGTTTTTTACGCAATATCCTCGGAAATATGAAACGATTTCGAAGAGAGATTGCAGGTAGATGTTCACGACGATTTAATTAGAGTACGTAGAATTCTCGTGTTCCACATGTTTGTTGCAAGATCAACATACGTTTGACACAATAGGGTGAGAACGATTGCAGAGATTACACAAATAACTGAAAAAACTTTTCATACTATTCCAATCGTTGATTCGTCTTCTACAGCTCTTCAAGATGGGAGATAGATATCTAATTATTGGCGGGGACGGCTTCCTTGGTCGCTGGATAGCCGAACTGCTTCTCCGTCGTGATGAGCCAAATGTACTTGTATTTGACCTCCGAAGTCATTTTGACGACGTTAAATACTTTATAGGCGATCTCACCAAGTATGAAGATATTAATAATGCAATAAAGAAAGGGCGGATATCCATAGTTATTAATACTGTGTCGCCTCTAACGGGTCTTGGTGATGATATTTATTGGAAAGTGAACGTTGATGGAACTAAGAATGTGATTAGAGCTTGCATTGAGAATGGAGTGCAAAAGTTAATCCACACTAGTAGCGCTAGTGTATTGTTTGATGGAGTTAACGATTTAACAAATGCTGACGATACAACGCCTTATCCAAAAAAATATGCGGATGCATATACTGCGACTAAGGTATTGTCGTTCAGATCTCTTTGTACTAGTGCCTGTTTCTTTGTATTCGGGCTGATTATTCGATATCTATGCTAGGCTAAAGCAGAGGCCCTTGTTCTTGAAGCGAATGGAAAAAACAACCTTTTAACTTGCGCTCTTCGTCCTTCTGCTATATTCGGGTAAGACATTAAGGAATCGTTTGTACTTAGTATATCAAGAAAATATATTTAAAATTTTGCTGCATCGACTGCTGGTACTTTATAGTCCTAGGGACAGAACCGCAATGCCTGGTATAATTAACGTACTAAAAAGAGGACAGACTAAGTTTCAAATTGGTGATAATTATAACCTGTTTGACTATACGTACGTGGAGAATGTGGCATATGCACACATTCTCGCAGCTGACAAGATGGCATTTAACAATAAGATTGGCGGAGAGGTAGGAATTTGCTGCAAGACGTAAACATACATTCGTTATCCAGTAGTTAATATTATTGGCTTGTTCCCATATTAGGCCTTTCTAATAACTAATGGAGCCCCGGTCCCATTCTGGGATTTCCTTAGATTTGCATGGGCTCAGTTTCAGCATTATCCACCATATGTTATCAAAATGCCGAGATTTATTGGGCTGACTCTTGCGGGCTTAGCTGAATGGTCTAGTTATCTACAAGGGAAAGAGCCAGTATTTACTAGGTTTAGGGTGAGATACTCTTGCGCAAACAGATACTTTAACATAACCAAGGCCAGAACTATTTTGGGATATGAACCGATAATTGATCTGGAAGAAGGGTTAAGAAGATCTTGTCAGGTAGTAACAAACGTCTTGTTAGATTATCATTGTCAAGCTTGTACTAATCAAATTTGTTTTTAATAACCGCGAAATACCGATATGAAAATTTTCAGTATTTTGCGGAAGAGCTAAATCAAGGACGACTTGATTTTAAATAATGCTGTGCTGGTTCAAATAAATAGAATAATCACATGTTCGCTCGAGTGGCGCTTTATGCTACACTTAATGTTTTCGTGACGGTTATATTGATCAATTCGCGCTACGCGTTCTATGCAAATATGAATGATGCTGTAGTGACATAAGGAACACATACCGTATAAGCTTAATTTGCTAACCTGTTACCTTTGTACAGCTGTGTTGATAATGATTATGTATTGAGCTGACATAATATCGTTATACTGGTGTCAATCCTCATAATCGTATTCACTTCCGGTACGTAGTAAATCATAGATAATATATCAGTAAGATAAACAATTCGGAAAGCTTGTGACAGATGCTCAAGAATAAGACCTTGATTATTTATCTTGTTCGATTTGCTTCGCTTGGAACGACCAATAAGGCCCTTGAATTTCTGGTGTAATTCCAAAGTTTCCAAATAATTATTGACTTCGGCTAAGTGTGGCATCTTGTGTTACTGTTAACTAGCCTGTAATACACACATACTAGTACATTACCGTAAATCGAAAACAGTTTTTCGATCCGTGTTACATTCAATCAGTAAAGGTTTTTGCGGGAACATCAGACTCTTCGAATCGTATCAAATGCCCGAATCTAATGTATCGCAATCTGGCTCACGACGACATATACCATTACGATATCGCTTGAGCAGCCTATCTGACAACCAGATAAGAACATTAAATAGGCGAACAGCAGATCTCGGAGGAGAACCGTGGTTCAGACATCTTAAGGTTGGGTCGCTTGTGCTCTGCGCAGGTGAGCTAATGAAACATGGATCAATAACGCAGTATGGATTTGAGACGAATCAATTTTTCATACGAATCTTTCGTGTTAAAGGCATTACAGTATATATGGTTCTCTATCATGATTGGAACCAGGATGACCACGTTTTCATGCCGGTATGTCCTTTTAACGGCGGTCTTTATAGTTATAATAAACAAACTAATGCGTAAAATATTACCGTCAGATACGCCGTTGGGTTGACGAGCGAAAACGATCATTTTGGTCACTTAGCAATGAAGAAAAACAAGAATTAAGGGAACAAGGAAAAAAAGTAGACTAAGCAACGTAAATACGTGTCGTATCCTCCCTTGCTAATAAATATTATTGTAAATGCTAGACCCATTTTCGACAAGAATATTAAGTTAGCAGTTTTGCACTGTCCCCAAGGAGATATCCAATGAGACATTTATCTAGCATCAGTTCGTAATTAACCCACGAATGTATTTCCACTAGGAGATAAACAGTTCGGATGAATGGATCATTCCGATAATCTCATCAGAAAAGGAAATTCGTATACTTACTAAACAAAACCGTTCCGTCTCTTCCAGCACAACGCATTATTTCTCCAACACCTGCAGACAGAAAATAAGTTCGTTCTACTATCATTCGAACAAATCTTCATCTCCGGTATATTTTCCGTTTACATACCTCCAGGGTGAAACTTCAAGTACGGCGTGATATTATACACCTTACCGCCTAATACAGTCCACGCATCAGTTCTTGTCCGATGACGCTGCACTTCTTCCATAGTGATCTTCTTCATTCCTCTTGCACCGTCCGTAAGGTCCACTCCCGAAGACTTTAACCTGGCCCAATCTAAAGCGGAATGGCCAGGCTCAAGAGCAACTTTTCGTCTTTGTTGAGACGCCCTTTGAAGCGGTGTCAGCGGACTACGAATGCGTTGAGGACTACCGGGGAGGGGAAACTGAGTAGGAGCTTTGGAGGTAACAAAAGAGGGTTGGCGAACCTTACGCCTACATGTAAGAAAGCTTGTGAAAAGAGAAGACGCTTACGATTGTCGGAAGAATCCGAGGGGTCATCTGTCGTTATTATTGATGGCAACTGCTCATCCTCGTTTTGTTTCTCTGCGTCATCGGCTTCCTCTCTCAGGCCCAAAGCAGTTATCAATCTTGATGCGGCGTTAAACATAATTTTGTTCAACTGTCCCGAAATGCTAATCCAGTACTAAAGGAACAAACAGACCATGCGGTTGGATATGTGTGATTAAACGGTACATTAATTAATTTGTGTAACGAGGAAATTAAAATTAATTAAAAATTTATTCGGCCATATATCACACATTCTTTTCCTTCATACTGCCATTATTCCCGTCCTTTCATTAATACCGTCTGGTTTCCTCCTCCCTTCCGTTCTCCCCTCCCCTCCCCTTTCCCCTCCTTAGTCTGAAGTTCTTTGGAACTTCCTTTCCTTTAATTTTATCCCTCAATACCTCATAGAAACAATGAAGCCATTCGAATTAATATCGATTTTCATTGTTGGATTGCTGGCCATAAACTCCATTACCTATGCGCATGAGCAACAAAAGCCTGGTGATGCCATTCAGCTCAGCTTGGTTCCTCGCGTGCCAGTCTATAGTACTGGGACGAGTCAACTTGTTGACACAAAGAGACATAAGATCCGTATGGATAAATGCAAGCCCAATGCAAAGATGACAAAAAATCACGAGCGTGAGGCTGAACTCTTTGTGAATGCCAAGTTTAGAAGGGGATTATTGCCCGGAGGTATGTTTGAGAAGTTGTTCCATTAAGCACAGAATTTCTGATTGAATCGTTTATTGAAACTGGCAACATAATCTCTCTTAGGTTCTGGCCCATTTGCTGGCGTGTCAAATCCGAGCGTTTACACAACGGGAGTTGTTAATCTTTATAATGATAATGAGGTAATAATTCACGAAATAGGTTGCTCTACATGGCATGTTGTAATGTACGAGCATGCGACTGATCGTCACTGGTTTTTTTTTCAATTTGAATTCTCTGACGTTTAGTGGGTTGGTCAAATTTATCTTGGTACACCCGGTCAATCATTTTTCGTGAACTTTGATACGGGGTCGGCAGATCTTTGGGTCCCATCCATTGCATGTCAAGATGTATGTAAGAATCACCGTCGATATAATTCATCCAAGAGCTCGACTTTCCGCTATGTCGGAAAGCACTTTCAAATTAGATACGCGGATGGAAGCACATCCCAAGGAGATGACCATGAGGACACTTTGACTATTGGTAGCCTCAAAATTCCTTCACAAGACTTTGCTTCCGTTCAAACCACGAGCGCAGCGTTGTCCGGAGATATTATTGATGGTATACTTGGACTTGGTGAGTCGACGGGAATATTTACTCAACTTGTAAATACACTCACTGGACAAAAGTCTACGTAATTTTTGTCGATCACATAGTAAAACATATGAAAAATCTATTTTT